GGAAGCATGACTTTTTTATTTAAGATTAAAACAAATATTATCAAAGCTTATTGCTTTGTATGTTTTTTTCTGTCTATAACAGTGTAGAAGCACAAAAGTAAACATATCTACCAGCAAGAACTGGGACAAACTAAAAGATGGTTTTTTTTTAATCCCCACCTGAAAGAAAATAGCACAAAGATATAAGGTCAGTCCCACAATTCTTACTCACATGAGTAGTCTTTACTCAGATGAATAGCTCTATTGAACTTAATTTTTTTATCTACCTTAATTCACAAGTGTAAAGAAAATGTAGTAGGATCAATTTCAAGTTACTATACTTTTAGGGAAGGCTCACTTCCCCACTTGTCAGGTTACAAGCATTCACTATGATGTCTATTTCCACACCATTCTTTTCACCAAATAGGACACAAAAGATCAAGTTACCCCTAAATTTGGTTGGGTCAGGGTCTTGCTCCACTTTTATTACACAGTCAAGCTATTGGTCACTGTTCTCTGCTGGTTTATTACTGGGAATATTCAGACAACAAAAACAAACAAAAAAAACCCCCATCATTTTGTGTTCTCGCTAGTGTAGTAAGTTTTGTCAGTGTGGAAGAAACTACTATGGCATTTAATTCTCTATGTACTTCCAAGATTTTAAGTTTAAAAACAGTCATTTTTTTGTGTCCCAAAATCTTACGTAACTTTTGGACCTAAACTCAGTTTCCTTGTATTTCCACTTTTTTTGGAATCTGCCTCAAGCTGCAAAGAGAGGATCAGCAAGGGAGGCCACCTAGTTCTAGTGTGACGTAAGCAAGGAAAGTCCAATAGCCCCTTATGAAGCTTTCAGAAAAAAAAAGCAGGGTTTCATTTGTTCAGGTTCTGGAGTAAGAGCCTGATTTGATTTTAACTGCTATGCCTTGTGTTCTCCCCGAAAGGCAGGAAAGATGTTTTTTTTAATACAGGGCAAGGACTGTTGTATGTTCCTTGACAAGCAAGATTGTTCCAAATATCCTGTTGGATTGTTTAGGCACTGCTCTAAAGTAGGGATGCTAGTTGGAGATCTGGAACCAGTACAGATTCTAGTTTTGTTCACCAATGGATGGGCTTGTTTTGTAGCTGTAGGCCGTTTGTTGAAGTCTGAGAGATATCATGCTAACATATTTGATTCTTCTTCTTGATATCTACCAGAGGCTCCCCAGTCATCTCAGCTCCATTACTATTCACAGCTTAGTACATTTAGATTGTTGATATGTCAAGTCTGGGGCTAATCTTGTATTCACCGGGCACCCACAAGTCTGAATGAAGTCACTACGTGCCCAGGAACTCTAAAGTAGGCCCCAAAGTCTTACCCTTTGACAGTTTTCCTTCCAAGTAACCTTGAATATTTATGCTATGTATTTAAAATTAATTTTACACAAACTATATGGTAATGATTCCAGCCCAATGTTAAATTGTACCAACATGAGGAAAATAAATGTATCCTATTAAAAGTTCATTAAATATACTCTTACTTTGTATGTTTTTGGGTCAGCATTTATTAAGTTAATATTGAGAGAAAAATAAAAGGTTTGGAAACTTATGAAAATGTTACTAGATACTCCTTCATTGTTGACTAAATATACCTTTTCCTGTCAGTATTCTACCAGGCAGTTGGAATTAAAAAAATGTCTTAGTGCAGTTTCAAAAATACACTGTCCACACCCACAATTCTTCACTTACCCTGCCGATGTTAAAAGAACTGAGTAAACATAATTACGTTCTTTACAGCGAGTGTTAGATGTACTAACCAACACAGCTTCAAATATAATATAGATACGCTAAACTTACCAACAGATATCCAGATATATAGAGACCTCAACTTGAAATCTAAACAGGTTTTTTTGTTTTTGTTTTAAATGAAAGACTTCAGAGTAATGTCAGCACTAGACATGACCACCCATGTCCTGGTCTCTGACAGTCTCTTGTTAAAACCACAAATCTCCATTTTATTAGTGTTAGTTTGTAAATTACCACTTCAATATTTTTTTTAATCATGAAACTAGATAGCTCAGCATTTAGAGAATTAGGTCCTGATATCAGGTACACCACTGACAATCTAATAGATGTCCACTAGAGTCAATGGAATTACTGTGGATTTTCTCCAGTGTTAGAAGAGATGGAAATACAGCTCGCAGCCTCTCACCTCTGTCAATGGTTCAAAACCATCCTCTGTCTGAGTCACTTCTAAGTCTATAAGCAGACAACTGTTCACGGGCTCAGACAGAATGAACCAGTGGTCTAATTCCAAGGCCCAGTAGACAGATGTCCATACAGCAATTACATTTTGGCATCTCTATTGAGATTTGCAACAATCTGAATAGGCACAATGATTAAACAACCTCTTCACCTCTAGAGTAGGTGCCTCAAAAAACAAACCAGAAGAAGTTAAAGCACCATGTCAGCAAGATCAGGGGAAGCTTACACTCCCAATGTCTGTTTTGTAGCTGTTCTAGGGATAGAGAGAGGTTAAAAGACAAGTCAAGTCTCTGTGCTGTCACTCACACCTTCCACAGGTATTACAGTAAAAACATTTAATGCCAGCCAGTCAGCTGAAACATGCATTGTACTTAATTTGTCATTGTATCATATACGTTGCTTGTTTCCAATGGGAGTAGCTGGGTGCTCAATTAACACTTCTGAAAAACAGGTCCCTTATTTACATGCCTAAATATAGATTTTTAAAACTAATTTTGGAAAAACCTATCCTTCACCCCACTTTTTTTTTTTTTTTGTTATTAATACCTTGGACACAGTGTTAGCAAAACCAAACCGTCAAACAGTCTGACCAAAAATTTCTTCCACGGTTCAACTTTTTACTCTCTTGGCTCCTTGATGTTTTCATTTTACTAATTCTCTAGTCAGCATCTTCCATACAATGTATAATTTGAATTTCTGATGTTTTGTTTGTATTTTACAAAAAAATGACACATGAACATTCACTTTTCAGACTCTGTGTACATCATAAAGCTGCAAAATAGAACCCAAATTTGCTTAAATTCATTGCCATTTACCTGCGAGACATAATGTCTTTATTCAATAATTAAGGATTCAATTTTGTCACTGAGATCATGGACTCCGTGACTTTAATGGACCTTTGTGACTTCTTCGGCTTCAGCTCCCCGCAGCAGCAGGGCTTGGACGGTCAGTCCTCCCCCCCCCCCCCGCCGGCGATGTCTCTATGGCCAGGTCATGGGATTCCATGAACGTTTATTGCCCATAACCAGTCCATGACTCTGATGAAAAAATTCCTGTGACAAAATCTTAAACCATAGCAATAATGGTGCTGAAAGACTCTAAAATTATAATTTTATTCCTACTGGCTAGAAGACAGAATTATTAAACTAACCCAGTGAATAAAAGGAACAGAGCTGAAACTTTAGTACCATCTTAAAAAAGAAAACAAAAAAACAAAAACACAAAACCCTCTCCCTCTGAAAAAAGACAGAGAAAGAAGTCGTTTTAAAGGTTGCTGCTCACCTAGGATCCAAAGCACCCCTTTGGGAGATAGCTGGGTGAGGAGAGCAGGAAGAATTGCTTGTTGTGGGTGACAATAAAAGCCCACTATGCAGAGTGGGGCTCTGCAGGGGATGCAATGGTGCTCAGATGTAGCCACATTGCATGATTGTGTAGGAACCCCATAGACATGTAGCGTAGGAGTTAATGCTGCTCCTAAAAATTATTTTAATTTCTGCCCCGTTTATCCCCAAACATGCATTGTTGTGCCAACACCAATAGAAGAGTCTTGTGACCTAGCAATAAAGCAGCCCTTTTTTATGTGTATTATCACAGCCCTTTTCCCCCCCTCTAATCTCCACAATTTATTATGGCTAGAAACACTGGGTCTGATTCTCTGCTGCCTTAAAATCTGGATTGTCATGTACACCTGTGTAAAAATGTGTAAAAGCACTACTAAATCACAACAGTGTTTTACATTCAAGTCGCACTGGTGCGAATGGCAAAAGCATTAGGCCCTGTGTTTCCAGCTTCTTATTTTGTCCCTTCCCCATGAAGGGGGCACATGATGAGGGCAACACTCGAAGACTGTTTCTTGGGTCCTCAACAGGAGAAAACAGAGATAAAGCTGATCCATGCTCAGCAACTAAACTGGAAAGCCAAACAACATGCACCAAGCCAGGCATTACTTGCCCATACAAAACTTATCTGGGAAAAGGGAAGAAAGTGAGACACGTTGGACTCAGAAATGTAGGGTTTTTTTTGTAGGGCAGACTGCTCAGGGAAAAGGGAGAGAGAGAGAGAGATGGGAAAAAAAAGAAGTGTGATGAGAGCACAAGCTAGAACTGAAGATTTGAACGGGGGTGGGGCACGTCTGCTCGGTAATGGCATTGAGCAAGAGGAGTCGATTCAGACTTTGTTTTGAACAGCAAGTGTTTAAGTCCGATAAGAATTTTTTAAAAAGCAGGCGGCGGCGGCGGCTACACCTGGCCATATCGCGGCTCGGGACCAGGGCAGCCAGCCAGCCCCGAGGCCGCTGCTCAGCACTCGCACGGGGCTCTACTTTTCCAAAGCTCTGTGCGGACAGTACCCAACACGCTGACACGGTTGCACGTTTGTCCCCGCGGAAAGACCAAAAAGAGCCTCCAGCGGCCTGGCGCCTGAACAAACGCCGCCTCCAGATTTGCAGCGAGTGGCAAGCGGCGCCGACGTGGCCGCGGGCGTTACCAAGTCCCACCTCGGCCACAGCAGCCGCCGCCGCCGCCGGGCGCGGGGCTCGGTCGCAAGGCAGCGAGTGGCTGCACGCTCCGCTCGGCCCGGGCTGCTGGCGGGGCTGGGCCAACACCACCTAATGCCCGGGCCGGGGCGAGCGGGAGGGATCGGCCCTGGCCCCGGCAGCAGGAGCCTGGCCCCGAGGCTGGCGTGCGCCGGCCCCGCGCAAGCCCCCGACCCCCCGGCCAAGCGCCGCGAGCCTGGCGAGCCTCCCTCTGCTCCCCGCAGCCGGGGTGGGGGTGGGGCAGTACCGGCAGGGGGGTGTCCGGCCCGGGTCTCGGCTCGCTCCTGGTCAGGCGAAGACATGGTGCTCGGCGCCCCGCGTCCGGCTGCGCAGGGCCGGGGACTGGCTGCCGCGGGCCCCGCCCCCTCCACCGCCCGCGCTGCCAACGTGGCCGGGCGCTGATGTCAGGACGCCCGGGGCGAGGCGCGCGCCCCAGCTCCGTGGGGGCCCACGCGCCCGGCCCCTCCCCCCGGCCGCGGCCGGGCAGCGGGGGCCGAGCGGGGGCCAGGGAGCCGGGCAACGTGGCGGGGTTAGACCGGACAGGAGCGGGGGTGGGGGAGGGGATCCAAAGCAGAATTACACCTAACGCCTCGGCTCCTGTGCCTGAGCTGCCGCTGCTGCCCCCGGCTTGGTTACACGCCATTAAGTGGTAGGCGTGGAGTAGGGGGCCGGGTGTTTTCCCTGTGGAGATTACATAGCAGGAGGTACGGTTTTGATCCAAGGGTGTTGTCTACACTGGGTAGAGGGATCAATTCAGATCGACATTTTTCTTTAATTGGATGCGCTCCGCCGGCCCCCCGAGTATCATCAGGGTTTAAATGCTTAGAGATTTGCCAGCGCCCCTCATACCTCCCACCCCCCACATTCAGGAGTCAATCCAAGCTTCAGTCCTACAGGGCGGGCCGCCAGGGCTCCTGCAGGTTTGACAGTATTTACTGAAGCTCCTCTCAGGCCCGTTCCAGCTGAATTTGTGTCCTGAGTATGGTGCCTGAGCGCCTCCCACTCTAATGTGATTTCTCCTCAAGGTCCCTACAGAAGACAGACCCAGGCCAAGGCCAAGGCTACACTAATCAGTAAAAAGAAAAAGGAGGACGTGTGGCACCTTAGAGACTAACAAATTTATTTGAGCATTTATTTGTTAGTCTCTAAGGTGCCACAAGTCCTCCTTTTCTTTTTGCGAATACAGACTAACACCGCTGCTACTCTGAAACTAATCAGTAGCAGCACTCAGGCATGTGAAGCAATGTAGGTAAGTGAACCTAACCCTTACATGCTAATGTAACCCACCACACCTCCTGGGTGTGGTGCTCTGCCCCTCTGGTAGCACCGAGGCCACTTAGAGATTGAGTCTGCTGCAGCCTTAGCTAAGGGCCGTATGGCATTTAGCTCATGCAGTAGAGGCTCACAAACTAATCAATTCCTCCCCCCCCCCATCTGAAGTCTGTCAGTGTTACACTGGCTCACAAAGAATTTTTCTGTCAGCCTAGCTAAGGGGTTCTCAAACTGGGGGTCAGGACCCCTCAGAGGGTCACAAGGTTATTATGTGGGGGGGGGGGGTCACAAGCTGTCAGCCTCCACCCCAAACCCCGCTTTGCATTCAGCATTTATAATGGTGTTAAATATGTAAAAAAAGTGTTTAAAATTTGTAAGAGGGGGGTCAGACAGAGGCTTGCTATGTGAAAGGGGTCACCAGTACAAAAGTGAGAATCACTGGCCTAGTTACTGCCTCTTAGGAAGATGGATTAACTACAGGGATGGGAGAGACCCCCGTCCTGCAGCTGCAGTGAATGGCTACACTGAGGTGCTTCAGTTAAGTAATAGACATAGCCTAAGGGTATGTCTACACTACAAGCACTCTTGCAGCACTCCAGCTGTGCTGCTGTAGCATAGACAGTACAGGGACAGAAGTAATTTTTCCCATTATGGTAGTAAATCTAACCCCCTTGAGAGGCATCACCTATCTGCAACTACAGTAGGGGTTAGATTGACCTGTAATTGCACAGGATGAGACATTTTTCACAGCCCTCAGCAATGTAGTTCGGTCAATCTAGATTGGACCCAGTCTAAGTGATTTGCCCAGGGCAACACAGGAAGCCTGTGGCAGAGCAGGGATTGAACTCAGGAACTAAACCTGAGGCAGGGCAGTATCCCAGTACTTAAGTCACCTTTCTGTACACCAGACTTCCTTTGAAAGGCAGGAAGTAGACACATTTTGCTCTGAAGCCCTCCCTTGCTTGATCCAAAGGCCATGAAGCTGCCAAGGTCTGTCTGTGACTTTCAGATTAGATTGGAATTTTTCATAATTTTGATTCCCCCCCCCCCTTCTCTAACAGTAATCTTTTTGCCAGTGTCAAATGTTAGCCATATATCAGTGTTAATTGCTTTGCTAAACAACTGTTCTGGCCACTACAGTTTCTCCCTTCTGACAACATGTAATATGAATAAGCTTGAAAGGATTACATTTATCAATCAATTTCATTGTACTCACCAACCTAATATATTTCCATTGATAACTGAAATTTGCAGAGATAGGCAAAGTAAGAAAAAGTTGTTGACATAGTACATATCCTTGAAACAAACTAAGTTCTCAAGCAGATTTTTCTTAACAGTTATAAAGCTTTCATAGAATATCAGGGTTGTAAGGGACCTCAGGAGGTCGTTTAGTCCAACCCCCTGCTTAACCAATCCCCAAATCCCTGAAAGGCCCCCTCAAGGGTTGAACTCACAACCCTGGGTTTAGCAGGCCAATGCTCAAACCACTGAGCTATCCCTCCCCTTTAACTAGGTGAGTCTCACCATTTAATGACAGTAAATAATTGTGGGGAGCTGACAATAATTGAACATTTAAAATAAATAGAAATAATGCTTAGAAATAAACATCTCATATTTTAAGGCCAGAAGGGACCATAATGATCATTAGTCTGACCTCCTGCATAATGCAGACCACAGAACCCACCCACACCTGTAATAGGCCCATAACCTCTGGCTGAGCTATTGAAATCCACAAATCGTGATTTCATGACAATCCATCATTTTCTCTAGTTTCAAGCCAGCAAGTGACCAGTGCCCCACACTGCTGAGGAAGGCAAAAAAAAAAAAAAAAAAAGAATCAGATTGGCAGAGACCTTGGGAATATTCCTTCCCAACCCCAAATATGGCAGTCATTTAGACCTTGAGCATGTGGGCAAATAGGTGGGCCATATGCCAGTATAGGGCATCTCATCATACTATCCCCTCCATAAACTTATCAAGTTCAGTCTTAAAACAAGTTACGTTTTTTGCACCCTCTACTCCCCTTGGAAGGCTGTTTCAGAACTTGAGTGCTCTGACGGTTAGAAAAATTTGCCTAATTTCAAGTCTAAATGTATTGATGGCCAGTTTATTATCCCTTTGTTTTTGTGCCAACATTAAATAACTCTTCTCCTTCCATGGTGTTTATCCCTCTGTTGTATTTAGAGATCAATCATATCTTCCCTCATCCTTCATTTTGATATGTTAGGCAAGCCAAGCTCCTTAAGTCTCCTCTTGTAAGGTAATTTCTCCATTCCTCTTACCCTTGTAGCCCTTCTCTGCACCTGTTCCTGTCTGAATCAATCAATCTTAAACAAGGGAAACCAGAATTGCACACACTATTCCAAATGAGATCTCACCAGTGCCTTGTATAATGGTAATAACACTTTCCTAGTAGAGATAGTGAATAGCTCACCCAATGCACCCATGGATTGCAATAGCCTTTTTCACAGCTACATCATACTGGCAGCTCAGAGTCATCCTGCTATTGACCAATACAGCCAGGTCTTTCTCCTCCTATCACTTCCAACTGATACCTCCCCAGCTTATAGCAAAAGTTTTTGTTTGTCCCTTTGTGCATTACCTGCACTGTTAAATTTCATCCCCATCCAGTTTTCAAGGCTGTCCAATCTTCTTGTATGGTATTCTGGTCCTGTTCTGTATTGGCAATATCTCCCAACATAAAAAGAAAAGGAGTACTTGTGGCACCTTAGAGACTAACCAATTTATTTGAGCATAAGCTTTCGTGAGCTACAGCTCACTTCATCAGATGCATACTGTGGAAAGTGTAGATCTCTTTATACACACAAAGCATGAAAAAATACCTCCCCCCGCCCCACTCTCCTGCTGTTAATAGCTTATCTAAAGCGATCACTCTCCTTACAATGTGTATGATAATCAAGTTGGGCCATTTCCAGCACAAATCCAGGTTTTCTCCCCCACCCCACTCTCCTGTTGGTAATAGCTTATCTAAAGTGATCATAGAATCATGGAATATCAGGGTTGTAAGGGACCTCAGGAGGTCATCTAGTCCAACCCCCTGCTCAAAGCAGGACCAATCCCCAATTAAATCATCCCAGCCAGGGCTTTGTCAAGCCTGACCTTAAAAACTTCTAAGGAAGGAGATTCTACCACCTCCCTAGGTAACGCATTCCAGTGTTTCACCACCCTCCTAGTGAAAAAGTTTTTCCTAATATCCAACCTAAACCTCCCCCACTGCAACTTGAGACCATTACTCCTTGTTCTGTCCTCTTCTACCACTGAGAATAGTCTAGAACCATCCTCTTTGGAACCACCTCTCAGGTAGTTGAAAGCAGCTATCAAATCCCCCCTCATTCTTCTCTTCTGCAGACTAAACAATCCCAGTTCCCTCAGCCTCTCCTGATAAGTCATGTGTTCCAGACTCCAATCATTTTTGTTGCCCTTCGCTGGACTCTCTCCAATTTATCCACATCCTTCTTGTAGTGCGGGGCCCAACACTGGACACAGTACTCCAGATGAAGCCTCACCAATGTCGAATAGAGGGGAATGATCAGGTCCCTCGATCTGCTGGCTATACCCCTACTTATACCTCCCAAAATGCCATTGGCCTTCTTGGCAACAAGGGCACACTGTTGATTCATATCCAGCTTCTCGTCCACTGTCACCCCTAGGTCCTTTTCCGCAGAACTGCTGCCTAGCCATTCGGTCCCTAGTCTGTAGTGGTGCATTGGGTTCTTCCGTCCTAAGTGCAGAACCCTGCACTTATCCTTGTTGAACCTCATCAGATTTCTTTTGGCCCAATCCTCCAATTTGTCTAGGTCCCTCTGTATCCTATCCCTGCCCTCCAGCATATCTACCACTCCTCCTAGTTTAGTATCATCCGCAAATCACTCTCCTTACAATGTGTATGATAATCAAGGTGGGCCATTTCCAGCACAAATCCAGGGTTTAACAAGAACGTCTCAAAATCTTGGGAGACAGGCCAGTCCTTGCCTACAGACAGCCCCCCAACCTGAAGCAAATACCAGCAACCACATACCACACAACAGAACCACTAACCCAGGAACCTATCCTTGCAACAAAGCCCGTTGCCAACTGTGCCCACATATCTATTCAGGGGACACCAT